CAACTTAGTATATATTGATTTTTTTCTCATTTCAACCATGGGGGACTGAGACATCAAAGACATAGAGCAGTGGAAATTCATGGAAGAAAAAACATGCAAGTCTGATGTGACAGTCCACAGCACCTAGAAGCATTTGTAAATGAAATTGAAAGGTGAACAACAAAGAGATTTACGCTGGAACAGTGTGTCCTATTTCCATTATCGGCCACCCAACTGTATTCTTAGTACGTGCTAAATAAGGAAGTAGAAACAGGACTTCAGAGAAGACACTGCTGGGACAACTAGAACAAAATACCCACTGAAGAAATCCATGCTGGAGATACGTGAGCTGGAGCGCACTGGGGTATCACTTTATAAGAACTCTCAAACAGGGGAAGATACCAAAAGTACAAATAAAAAATGAGACTATGTCAATAAAAGACAGCAATAACTACAAACCCATATACCTATTTTCTTACTCAACAAACACTTACTAAGCACTGATGGGGTGCTCGGGCCCCAGCCCTACGATCATGTCTCTGGCAGCCTCCCAATTTCTCAGCAGGCTCCTGTTCTGTGACACAATTTTCTCTTGCTGCAGAACACATTCTCTTATCAGAACAGACAGAGGGGTGCCTGGCCCAAGGGCCCTAAGCACCAGATCCCCAAGGTCCAGGCCACTGACAACTCCCTCAGTGTCTGCCGTAGTCCCTACACTTTCCCATCCATAGCTCCCAGATGCCTGGACCTCGATTACCTAATTAGCACCCCAGGCACTACTTTCCATAAAAGCCCCAGCACCATCCTCACACTCTCTCTCCCTCAGGTTCCATAAGGACCTTTGCCCGCTTTTGTTAAAGTGTTACAGTAAACTTTTTGCCACTTGACTAAGAGAAGGCTCGAGTGTGTGAATCCATTCCAGGCAACAAAGCCTTGGCATTCTCAGGGTCCCAGCACCCCAAAACCTCATCAGCACCTACTATGTACAAAGTACTGGGACTATAAAGATTTAAAAAAAAAAAAAAAGCCCAGGCCCTGCCCTTGTCATCTTATCATTACATTTATCCAGAGAATACAATATGGCGTCATGCAGAGTGTCAGCCTTGGAGTCAAGAAGACTTGGTGCTAGTCTTGCCTCTGACACATTATGTATAAAATACAGATTCAGCCTCTCAGTTTTCCATGCAGGAGGTCATTCTAGGCAGGGGGGACAAAATAATCAGAAATTTGGAATTGAGAGAGGAAAAGATGAGAATGGGCATTGGAGAGTGGTACAATTTGAATCCTCAGCAGACTATGAAGTATGAGGTAAGTCTGGATAGGTCTGAGTAGGATTGTGGAGGGCTCTGAACGCTCAGGAACAGGAGAATATTTGGTAGGCAACAGTTAGTTACTAAAGAGGTTTTAAGTAATATTTCAGTAAAATTCAAAACAATTGGATTAGGGTAAAACCACTAGCAATCAAAGCAAGGTTTCTTAACCTAGAATATGTGAACTTTTATTTAAAAAATATATTTTATAACTATATTTGACTATAATTGTTTTCCTTTGAAATACTATGTATTTTGCTGCTGACTGAACAACATATCTGACTTCATGACCCCTTTTGGGGTTCTCTTGGCAAAGATACTGGAGTGGTTTGCCATGTCTTTCTCCAGCCTGTTTCACAGATGAGGAAAATGAGGCAAAAAGAACTCATGGCCTGGTCTGCCCAGGGTCACACAGCTAGTAAATGTCTAAAGCTGGATTTGAATTCAGGAAGATGAGTCTTCCTGACTCGAGGCCCTGCCCTCCATTCACTGTGCTACCTAGCTGTCCCCCTATGTATTTTACTGAATTCCAAAACATTATTCTGAGAAGAGGTTCTCAGGCTTCACCAGATTGCGACAAAAAAAAAAAAATTAAGAATTCCCGAGTACTAGAGGAATTGGGAAAGGCTTCTTGGAGTATGTGACATGTAAGCAGAGCTAGGAAGGAAGCAAAGGCTTAGAAGAGAAGATGGAAGGAGGGAAGACATTGCAGGCACAGGCTACAGAAATGCACAGATGTCCGAGACTGTAACACTTAGCTCAAGGAGTATTAGGTAGATCAGTCTAGTTGAAACAGAGTGTGTGATGGGGAATAACAGGAAACAAGAGCAAATCCCCACTGCTGCCAGGAGAAAATAAAACTCCCCAGACTAGCATTTAAGGCCCTTCACAGACCTGTGCTTTAGGAAGACATTTTGGCAGCTGTGGAGAGGATGGGCTGGAGAGAAAAACAGCTTTATGTAACCTTTATGATGATGCTCTAAGGAGGGGAGGGGTTCTTAACTTGGGCTCTGCAATTTTTTTTTTTGGTGAGGCAGTTGGGGTTAAGTGACTTGCCCAGACTCACACCGCTAGTGAGTGTTATGTGTCTGAGGCTGCATTTGAACTCAGGTCCTCGGGACTCCAGGGCTAGTGCTCTATCTAGCTGCCCCCTGTAAATCTGTTTTTAAAAAAATATTTTTATAATTATATTTCCATGTAATTGGTTTCCTTTGTAAATGTATCTATTTTATTTTGTGCATTTAAAAAACACTTCTGAGATGGTGACCACAGTCTTCCCCAGACTGCCAAAAAGGTCCGTGGCACAAAAAAAGTGCAGACCCTCTACCAACGCTTCTTAAACTGTGGGTCTTGACCCCGAAGTTTAAGAAGCCCTTCGTCTAGTCCAGGGTTAAGAAAACTTTGACAGGGGCAGCTAGGTGGTGCAGTGGATAGAGCACTGGCCTTGGAGTCGGGAGGACATGAGGTCAAATCCAGTCTCAGACGAGACACTTGACACTTACCAGCTGTGTGACCCTAGGCAAGTCACTTAACCCCAACTGCCTTGCACAAAAAACAAACAAACAAAAAAGAAAACTATGAGAAGGGAAAAGGCAGGCTTTGGCAAAGGATTTTCCAAAGCAGACCACCTATTTACAGTCACGCAATTGAGCGAAAGGTTCCAAGAATACAAGATTCCCACCATGGTGACTGTTGTTTGATTTTCTAAAAAGTCTTTGATTCAGTAGAACATAATGCCACCGTGGCAGCTCTCCTCCACCAAGGACCCTCTCACGTATGTGTTGGGAGGGTCCATGATTCCTCATGACTGCCACCAGAGAGAGAACTCTGTTCAGTGACCATTAGAGACATTGTGAGGCAGTAAGCCAGGGAGATTTATACCCTCACTAAAGGTACTCATCACTGTCATGGAAAATGTCTTATTCAGGATCAAAATTGAAGAAGGATTCCCCACTGCCCTGGGGTTCTACCTTTGCGTGTGTCATGGGCCCCCCTTAAGCAGTCTGGCAATGCCTAGGGAGCTGTTCTCAGAATAATTTTTTTAAAAAGTCATTAACTTAAAGAAATGTTAAATTTTAGTTAGAGGTTAGTGAAAATAAAGGTGTACTTTTTCCTCATTCAAATTCCCAGACCCAACATGAAGATTCCTTGCTATTGATAGTGAAACAATTCCATTTTGTTCCTGCCTGTGAATAATATCATGAAGCCCCAGAACATTACAGAGCCTCCTCAGTGAGATCCATGATTACTCATCAAAAGATTCTAGCCTGACAATCCATACAGGAAAAACTAAATGGATGAAGAATGCCTACTCTCCAGACTATGAAAAACAGTTGAAAGGCTAGTCCATTGAGACAGTAAATCATTAATTAGATCGAGGACTAGGACTGCAGATGGACAATGAGTGGGGCCCAAAATTGAAGAGAAGGAAAGAGGAGGCTAGATTGCATTTGGGAAGATGCTTAGTGATCTAGGCTACTCTCCAGCACAAACATCTACGCTTTTTAAACGTAAATGTTTTCCTGGGAATACCCTGTAGTTGCAAATTTTGGAACAGTGTAAGAATCAAAGCTGTATGTAGTTAATCTAAAATTCAACAGAGAAGTACATGATGGGAACATGCTACATATATTCCCAAAGGTGACAAATGCAGGAAGTGGTCTATAGGGGTTTATCAAGGAAATTAAGAAGGATGTAGGCTGGCTATGTATAGAGTGGGAAATTGAAAATATTGTTAAATTGATTTGTTAAATCAATTTTGTTAAGATGTGATCAAGCTAGAATAGATTTAACATTAAATAAGAAAGTAATATTTTATTGATGCCCTTTGTCCTTATATGTGCATAGTGGCAGTTAGGTGGCTCAATGGATAGAGAGCACTGGGGCTGGAGTCAGGAAGACTCATCTCCCTCAGTTCAAATCTGGCCCCAGCTACTTACTAACTCTATGACCCTGGGCAAATCACTTAACCCTATTTGCCTCAGTTTCCTCATCTGTTAAATGACCTGGAAAAGGAAACGGCAAACCACTCCAGTATTTTTGCCAAGAAAGCCCCAAATGAGGTCACAAAGTCAGACGTAACTGAAAAATAACTAAAGAACAATCACCAGAATGGCCTTAACATAAATGGATCATGCTCAGGACTCTGTCTCTGAGAATTGCAACCTCAACAAGCCAGCTCTCCAGAGGGACAACAGATGGTGAACCTGAAGGCTGCCCTGGTCCTCATGAAATAAAGACGTGAAAAAAGACTGCAACAGACGGGTAAATCCTTCATGGAGAAAATCTACGGATCACAGCGTGACAGATACAGAGCTGGAAGGAATCTGAGAGGCCACCGAATCCAACACATTCATTTTAACAGATGAGGAAACTGAGGCCTGGACAGCGTAAGAGACTTGACCAGAGTGACACTAGTAATGTCTGAGGCAGGATTTGAACTCAGGTTTTCTCAACTCCAAGGCCACCTACATCCCAGGAGCACCAGGACAAGTCCACAAGATACCGTGGTTAGTTCCAACTGAATCCAGCTTTACTTGAATGCAGGGAGTGGCCACATCAACTACACCATAGACCAAAGTATTAAAGAAGTAAACACTATGGATAGACTTAATGACGTCTAAGAAACACAACTGAGCGTTTTGCACAAAATGTATTATTTTGTATTGTTGTTTAGTTTGAATTGTACTGAAACATAAAAAGGTAACTTACCTGTTTGCTCTGACTTTGTCTCCCTGTTTTCTTCTTTGACTCTTTCTTGGGACTAAAGAGAAAGAGACAAGAGTTTTTAAAACACGTTAAAGTTTCCATTAGGAAAACTGCCAACTTCTTTCCAGCCACTTATGTTTCTTTTTTTTCCTTTTCTTTTGGAGGCAGTCGAGTTTAAGTGAATTGGCCAAGGTCACACAGCTAGTAAGAGTCAAGTGTCTGAGGTCACATCTTGAACTCGGGTCCCCCTGACTCCAGAGCCAGTGCTTTATCTACTGCACCACCTAGCTGCCCCTAACCTCTTAACTCTTCAAATGCCTCCTTGATATTATTTGTTATCACTATTGCTCTATTCAATAAAAATTAAAGCCCTGAAACCTGGCAGCTGGGTGGTACAGTGGATAGATCACTGCACCTGCAGCCAGGAAGACCCAAGTTCCAATCTAGCCTCCAACACTCACTAGCTATGTGAACTTGGATGAGTCACTTTGTCTGCCTCAGTTTCCACATCTATAAAATGGGGATAATAATAACACCTACCTCCGAGGGTTGTTGTAAGGACAAAATAATATAACACTTGTAAAGCAACACTGGCAGACCTTAAAGTATTATATAAATGGCAGCTATTATTATTAATATAATCTCTATTTCTGTCTTCTCTCCTTTTCATAACCAACTTTCATAAAAGTATATTCTATCCTCTGGACTTCCATTTTTCCACTTTCCAAATCAGCCCCTCAGCCACGCTGCTTCTACTTCTACCTTAGCCTAAATTGTGTTTGTTTTTTGAAGAGCACTTAGCAATGTTAGCAACCGAAACGAGGTATACAAAGAAAAATTAAAAGAACAGGTGAGGGGGAGGGGGGAAGTGGAAGGAAATCAGAAGAATAAGTACCAGCAAAGAAGAATTTAAAAATCTCTATCTGCACTTAAGTTGAATGTATACTTTGAAAATCCAAGACAGACAAGGAAAAAAATTCATGGAGGTAATCATGATGTGGGCAGCTAGGTGGCTCAGTGGATAAAGCAAAAGACCTGGAGTCAGGAAGACCCGAGTTCAACTCTAGTCTCAGACACTTGCTTAGCTGTGTGACCCCAGGTAAGTCATTTAACCCTCTTTGCTTCAGTTCCTCCTCTGTAAAATGAGACAGAGAAGGAAAAGACAAACCACTCCAGGGTCTCTGCCAAGAAAACTCTAAATGGGGTCACGAACAGTCAGACACAACTGAAATGACTCAACAACAACAAATCACGATGTGTGGAAATACTGCAGGATTTGGTGTTGGAAGACCTAGATTGGAATCTTGTCACTTACTGCCTATGGGAACTCAGTTAAGTCACAACCTCTCTGGGCCTCCATTTCCTTTCATGTAAAATGGCCAAGATGACATTTAAGATCCCACTTCCATTAAAGTCATCTCCATTTCAATACACCATCCATCAAGAATCAAGAGAAAGGAAAGGTAGAACAGCCTTCACAAGAATGATAAAATGTAAGCCAACATTTGGGCATAAACTTATCAAGGTCTGCAAGAAATTTAAACAAGTATCACCAAAAGCCTCTGTCCAGGCTTCATCCTTCTCGATCAACACTAACTAGCTGCCTCTCCCTGCTTCCTGTTCTTGGCTTTCATAACCCTCATGATTCCAGATCTCCTGCTGATCATTGCTTCCCTAGGGCTCCTGCTCCTACTAGCCCTTAAGCACAAGTTTCCCAAGGCTCTGTTCTATAAGCATTATCCTTTCTCTCCACTCTCTCCTTCCTAGGCAATCTTACCCACTCCTAGGGTCAAACAGGCTAAAGGATTTCCGAAGTCCCCTTCCAGCTCAGTCACACTACGGCCTCTAAACAAACAATATCAGGGCTTCCTTCCAGAGTTTCTTAACTATAATTCTGACTGCCAGTAGTCCCGCTTACAACTTGAATTCTGAATGTCTTCCCCTGGACTGCTCTTCTAGTCTTCCCTGTCTCCATAACAATGATGATGACAATGATGATAAACACAGCATTTATGTAGAAACTTACAAATAGGATCTCATTTGGGCTTCACAACAACCCTGGAATTTCCAGAATTATTGATCCCCATTTTACAGTTGAGGAAACTGAAGCAGAGGTTAAACAACTTGCCCAGGGTCCAGCTTAGTGCCAGAGCCCAGTGCTCTATACACTTCGCCATCTCAGAGGGTGCCTCGGGGGACCTCAGAAGGCACACAGTACAAAGGAGACCTGAACAGGAATCCTCTTCTAACTTTTTTTAGCTTCTAGTTGAAGACCTGGAGAAAGCTCCAAGGGCTCTCTTCCCGTGACCACACATTCCACTGTTGGACAACTCCCACCATGAAGCAACTGGGATGAGAAATCGTTGTTTATCCCAGCCTCAACATACCTCCCTATAACAAACTCTACAACCAGTTCCAGACTATCCTTTGGGACTCCACAGAACAGTTTTAATCCCACATTAACAAACACGTGAAGACTGCTGCCATGACCCCACTTCATTCCCTACCAAGCCTCCTCTTGTCTTCTCCAAGAGGAGCAACATCTCTGGTTCCTTCAACTCGTTCTCATATATGGTTGGCCTCCAGCCTCGTCATTATGCTGATTTTCCGCATCTGGACACACTGACTGTTGCTGAAAGGATCAAGAGCAAACTTCTCAACCTGGCGTTTAAAGTCACTAACAGTCTGGCTCAAATTTAACCTTTCAAGCTTTATTTCACTACTTCCCAGCCTTTCCCTTCTCTCATCCTTCACCCTAAGGCACATCTCATCTCTACCTGCTGAGCTCCCCCCTCCTTCAAGCAAGTGCCACCTCCTCTATAAAGCCTGCCCTGACTCCTTACCTACTTAGGGAGATACCTTCCTCCTCAAATTTTTCCTGAAACGTTTTGTCTGGATCTCTCCTTTACCTCATCATATTCTACCTTGTATATCGATTATTGCATACACGTCTCACTTAATTGCAAACACATCCGGTGTCCCTTTTCATCTTTGCACCCCTGGTACTTAACACAGCGCAATATGCAGAACAGATGTTTAATAATCACATTGTTGAATTTAAACTGACGTCATTGTTGTGCCAGACTGTATAGGGCAGGGATTCAGGGATCTATGAGTAGATTTCAGTTGATCCATGAACTGGGAAGGGAAAAAATTATCTTTATTTCACTAACTTTTGGTTTCCTTTGTAAGCTTATGTATTTTACTTCTTGCATTTAAAAACCATTATTCTTAGCACCGGCCCTGAAGTCAGGAGGACCTTAGTTCAAATCCGGCCTCAGACCAAACACTTGACTCTTACTAGCTGTGTGACCCTGGGCAAGTCACTTAACCCCAACTGCCTTAAAAAAAAAAAGCACTATTCTTTATTCGTTTGTTTTTTATTCCAATATATTCTTTATTTAGTATCAGTGATGTATAAGAAAAACAAACAAAAAGCTAAAACAAAACAACAACAGATCCTTCCATTTTCAACCACATTACCAAAAGTGGTTGGTGAGATTATTGTCAAATTTTTGTCTAGGTTTAAAAAAAAAAAACAACTGCAACACCCGCACACCTAAACGAATGCAGTTCCATGTATTTCTTTCTTTAGTAAAAATTTCTGTTTCCATTACTTAAAAAAAAAAAAAGCAGTATTCTGAGAAAGGGTCCATAACTTCACCAGACTGCCAAAGAGGTCCATGATACAAAAAAAGGGCCTCCACAGCACCAGCCTGAAGAATCTGAACTTTATTCAGTACGTAATAGGGAGCGATAGATGCAGTTTGGTATCAAAGATACAGAGCTGACTTTGGGTCAGAAAGGCCCGAGTCTCCTTCTGACTGTGCGGCTTTGGGAAAAGTCACTTAACTTCTGAGTGCCCTAGCAACTCTCTAAACCCACAAATCATAAAGCAGCTGCCCATCTACACTGGTAGAGAGTTTCCTCACTGAGAATTTCCTGTACCAATGAAATTCCAGGTCTAGTTAAAACCAAACCAAAACAGGAAACTGCTGCCGCTCTTAGCAAAGTGCCTGGCACACATTGGGTGCTTAATAAATGTTTATTGAATTGAAACTATTTTGAGCAGAGTGATATGAATGTCCACCTCTATATGGGGATAGGAAAAAAAACTGATTTTTTTTTAATTCTTAATTTAAGAAACGACAACTTTTCCATATAAACAATACCACAGAAAAAGAGGATTGTACATGAAACTAGGAATCTCTATTATGCATAGCTTGGTATGTAAGTTCAACCTACAGCTTGTCTGTGCTTTTTTTCTGACCTTTTTCTTCTGTTCATTTAAAAAAAATGCTTCAATGACCCTTTTTTCTTTCTTTTCCTTTTCTCTCCCCCTCCCCATCTTTTTTTTTTTTTTGGTATCCTTATCCCTCAACTCCCTCTTCCTCCCAACTCTCTTTTTACAATTGAAAAAAAAGAAAAGAAAAACTTTTGCAATAACTCTACACAGCTGAACAAAACAAATTCTCATCACACTGCCTTTGAGGAATTAAATAATAATAACAATAATAGCTAACATTTATATAGCATTTACTATGTGTCAGGCATTGTACAAAGTGTTTCACAACTATTACCTCATTTGATCCTCCTAACAACCTTGAGAGGAAGGTGCTATTTATCACCTCCATTTTACAGTTGAGGAAACCGAGGCAAAGAGTAAAGTGACTTACCCAGGGTCACCCAGCTAGTAAGAATCAGAGGCTGGATTTGAACTCAGCTCTTCCTGACTCCAGACCTGGAACCCTATCTACTTGCCCACCTCCATCAGCTCTCTCTGTAGGGAGGAGAAACTAGACAGCTACATTAAGGGTGGAGCTGGGGACAAGATCTGTTAGGAAGATATGGTAATAGTCCAGGCAGACTCCTGGCCAAGAGGAAGCCCTGAGAATAGAAAGGGGGAAAATTGTGGAGCCGGTAGCAGTGTGAAGGTAGAGACAAAGGAAGGATGCATGCCTGGTCTTGGAAACTGATGAATGAGAAGGGAGGGAGAAGGAGAAAAGTCACCATCACATTCCCCAGCAAGCATTTACTATCAATAAACATTTATTAAACGCCTAAAATGTGCCAGGATACAAAAAGAGGCAAAAGATAGTCTCAACCCTCAAGAAGTTTAAAAATCTACTGGAATTACTTACAAGATGTACAATCTAATGGACTTTGCTAAGAACTTACTATGTGTGGGGCAGCTAGGTGGCCCAGTGGATAGAGCACCAGCCCTGGAGTCAGGAGGACCTGAGTTCAAATGTGATCTCAGACACATAACACTCACTAGCTGTGTGACTCTGGGCAAGTCACTTAACCCCAACTGCCTCATCCAAAAAGAAAAAGAAAAAGAACAAGAACTTACTATGTGCCCAGCACTGTGCTAACCACAGAGGTCAAAGTTATAAGGAAGGTTTTAAATATTTGAAGCAGCTAAGTGGCACAGGGGGATATTTGGGAAGAAGGCTCGAGTTCAAATTCTGCCCAAGATATCAGTAGGACCCTTGACAACTCATTTAACTTCTCTTGCCTCATTTTCCTCTTCTGTAAAATGGAGAAAATAATAGCACCTATCTCACAGGGTTGCCATGAGGATCTAATGGGCGAGTTAAAGAACTGTTACATTAAAAGTATTAATACACTTACATAACACAAATGTTATACACATATTATGCTAACTATTGTTGTTACTTATGGGTTCAGTGGCATTCATGATAGCAGAAAGGAAGCTCCCCGAGGGGACGGGCTTTCGGAAGAGCCTGGAGTTCGAAGGGGAGGGTGGACCAGCCAAGATGGGGGTCAGCCCCCGGGGACCCTCGAGTCTAGGGGCTGATCCAGCATGCTCAGAGACGGAAGGAGCGCGCTTGGGCCCAAGGGGAAATGCACAAGAGAAGCTCCCCGAGGGCAGGGCCGGCTTCATACGCTTTGCATACAGAGGGCGCCCAATTCGTGCAGAATTAAACGGGAAGGTTTGGAAAAGCAAGGAGAAAAGAAGAGGATTCGGAAGGGAGGGGCGGGGGGAGCATCCCGGAGAGGGCGGGAGGCCGGTGCGCTGCAGCTGCAGCTGCAGGTCAGACAGGCCGAAGGGCAGCTCACTGCGGAGGGGGTCCAAGGCCAAGAGCCCAGGAGGGGGGGGGCTGCCAAACCAGTCTGCCCTCGTGCGGGCCCCGCCGCCCGGGACCCCCCGGGGCGAGCAATCCCCCGAGACAGCAGCGAGGCTGCGGGGCTGGACGAGCCGCCCCGGCTTCCCGGCGCGGGGATGGAGCGCATACCTCGCGCCTCTGCTCGTCCTCCGCCTCCGCCGCCGCCGGTCCATGTCCGCGACACCGAAGCGTTGGGACGGAGCTGGAGTCGCCGAGGACAAGTCCACGCCTCCCTCCTAGGCGGCTCACGCTCCGCCGGCCCGTCCGCGCTCAGAAGCTGTTGAAAGCCCAGGCCTGGATTTCGCCGAGGACCGGATTTACCCCCTCTGGGCTCGCCGCACAAGCTGACCCGATCTTTCAAGGTGAATCTGGGCCGGGTTTTCTCTCCCGCCCGCAGCCCGCCCGGACTTTCAAATTCCACTGGCTGCGTGCTCTCGCTCCGTTGCTTCCCCCCAGCCACTGAGCGGTCTCCGCAGGCGGGGCGGGAGCTTTGGGACTCAGGCCCCGCCCCCCGCCCCCCCCCTTTTGTACCTCCCGTCCCACGTGGCTTCAGGGGCACCCAAAGCTGCTTACGCTCCAATCATACACCTTTACTCAGTCAATCAGACTGTTGACAGGCTACAGCAAGTCAACAAGAATTCGTCAGACGCCTACTGTGTGCCCGACACTGTGTTAAGCGCTGGGAATACAAAGAAAGCAAAAACTGCCTTCAGGAAGCTAAAAAATGTCAGACAATATACAAACAACTTTAGAGCTAATTGCAGAGGGAAAGGCATTGATATTAAGGAGGGCTGACAAAAGCTTCTTGCAGAAGGTGGAAATTTAGCTGAGGCTTGAAAAAAGCCAGGGAAGCTAGAAGGCTAAAATGAGGAGAGAGAATGCTAGGAGTGGGGGACCCCAGTGAAAATGCCCCTAATTAGGACACTGAGTGTCATTGAATCCTAGAGGACTTGGAACGAGTACGTTGTTAGAAGAATGGAAAGGTAGGAAGGGGTCAGGTTAGGAAGGGCAAACAATTATAAAGAGGTAGTAAAGAGCCACTGCACTTCATTAAATAGGGTGCCAACAATGAGCATTCATTAAGCATCTACTCTGTACTGGACACTGCTCAAGGTACGAATCTAAGGAATGAAGCAATCCATACTCCCAACGAGGCTATATTGTATTGATTAATTGTATTGATTCTGTATATGTTTATATATGTCCTGGTTGTCTCCCATAATATAACAATAGTCATAGAATCAATATATAGTAAATACAACGTATGAGAGCCAGACCCCAAGCGCTGCTAGGAGTGAGGGGGTGGGGGTGGGGGTTTCAAGTCTGACCTCTGAATTACTGTGTGTGATTTCTTAACCTTTCAGTGATCTAGGCAACTCACTAAAACTTTTAATGACCTTCAGGAAACTTGCCAACCTGTATTAGAAATGTCCTCTCCTGGGCGTTCTCTGTAACAAAGAAATCACAAGTGGAGTCTTTACAGCTAAATACAAAGTAGTGAAATACTAGGTACTTAAGGTGAGGAGAGGGCATTGGCAGTTTAGAGAGAGGAGCAAAGACAGAAACATTCAGATAACATCCACGAAGCTGTTACAGCTTTCAGGACCCTCCTCGGAGCTGCAAAGGTGAGTAAGACAATATCTTTGCCCTCAGGGAGCTGATACTTTGTTATAAAGATAAAACAAAAGGTAACTGCTATATTCCCTGATAGGGGCATTTGAGAAGCGACTAGTGGTGGAGCGACAAATCTCATCTGGTGAAAAGAGGATAGTCCGATTTGGCTTGGATGTAAAATAGAATCATAAGATTTATGATTATGATGAAAAATTTAGAACCAGAAGAGACCGTATAGTCCAACCCTATCATTTTAAACAGATGAGGAAACCCGAAGCCCGGAGAGGTTGTGACTTGTTCCAGGTCACACAGCTAGTAAGAGACAACGGCAAGATTTTAATCCAGTTATACATATTTGTACATATAATGAATGCTATTGCTTACTAGAAGACAACTCTTCGCAAACGGATTCGTGGACTCATTGAAATTCAAATCAATTCAATAAAGACTTACTAAGGGCCTTTGCTGTACAAAAGCGATTAGCTAGGCTCTGGGGATAATAATAACAACAACAATTTATAGAGCACCTACCATGTGCCAGGCACTGTGCTAAGTGCTTTACAATTATTACCTCATTTGATCCTCACAGCAGCCCTGGGAGGTAGGTGATGTTATTATCCCCATTTTAGAGAGAAGAAACAGTGTTTGAGGCTAGATTTGAACTCTCTTCCTGGGTCCACACCCAGCACTCCATCCACAAAAAACAAACTGGAATTTAAAGTAGAAGATAAGTGCAAAGTAATTATGTGGCTCATTAGGGACAATTCCAAATAGATCACTGGATTCCACCTAAATTTGCAGGAGAGAAAAACCTCATAATTTAAGGGGCCTATCATAAGAGAAAATTCTCTTAGGAAGAAGGAGTAATGAACAGAGATTCTTCAAATCTCCTGCAAACAAGTCAACCAATAAAATTTTTCTTACTTAGAATTGCTTTTTTCAGGAGACCTGTTCATGCATCATCCATGCATGTACAGAACGGGGTGGGGGCAATGATATACATATGTAACTGGCTTTTAAAATGGACCCTTGTTGGCAGGGAGAAATATTTGAAGCCTGGTTGTGTGAGTTGGGGGTAGAGGTCATCCCAAACAGTGTTTTTCTTCCCTTCTTGGAGTGGGGCAAACTTGAGAAGGAAACCAGTCCAGGTGAGAGGTGAATAGGTCCAGCACGTGGATGTGTGATTGGGGAAATGGGAACACATATTGTAAAGAGAAAAATTAGAAGATTTTGTAATTTATTAGATATGTGTGGGGAAACGAGGAGTCAAAGATGATATTGAGATTTTAAACCTGGGTGATAGAAGGGTAATGGCGCCCTCAAGAGTAATAAGGAAGTTAGGAAGAAGGGAGGGTTTTGGGGGAAAAAATAATGAATTATGTTTTGGTCATATTGAGTGTGTGATGTCTACATCCAGTGTAGAATGCTCTTCAGGCAGTTAGTGATGTGGGAGAGAGAGATGAGGGCTGGGTCAGTAGGCTTGGGAATCATCTGTATAAAAATACTTGAGTCCATGGGAGCTAAAGAGATCACTAAGTGAGAAAGTAAGACGAGAAAAAGAGAAGAGGGCCCAGGACAGAGACTTGGGAGAAGTCAGTCAGTAGGCAAAAGAGACTGAGGCAGTCAGACGGGTAGAAGAAGAGACCCAGAGAGGAGAGAGTATTCGAAGGAGAAGGTGATCAGTAGTGTCAAATTCTGAACAAAGGTCGAGAAGACTGCAAAAAAGACCATCCAATTTGGCAGTTGAGGTAGATGGTAACTTTGGAGAGATCAGTTCCAGTTGAGTAATGAGATCAGAAGCCAGATTGTAACATATTTCAGAAGAGAGGAGAAGATATGGAAGCACTAATTATAGACAGCTTTTAAAAAAAATTTTTTTTTAATTTTTAGGCAGTTGGGGTTAAGTGACTTGCCCAGGGTCACATAGCTAGTAAGTGTTAAGTGTTTGGTCTGAGGCCAGATTTGAACTCACGCCCTCCTAACTCCAGGGCTGGTGCTCTCTCCATTGCACCACCTAGCTGCCCCTAGACAGCTTTTTTAAAAGTCATTTAGCTGAGGAGAGGAAAGATGTTGGATGTAGTAAAATCTAGTGAAGGTTTTAAGCATGGTGAAGACTTGGGCATCTTTGTAGGTGCCATGAAGGAGCCCATAGATTGAGATTAAGACTGAAAAGTGTGTGTGTGTGGGGGGGAACTTCATGGTCATATCCCCAGCAAGATCAGTCATTCTAGTGTTTATTAAGTACTATGTGCCAGGCACTGTGCTAAGCACCAGGGATACAAAGAAAGTAAAAACTCAACAGTCCCTGATCTCAAGTAGCTCAAAGTCTAGTGGTGGAGACAACATGAAGCCACGTACCAGGAAGATATGTACAGGACAGATTGAGGGGAGTATCCGAAGGAAGTCACTAAGATCATTAAGGAGGCTTTTCTGCAGAATGTAGGACTTTAGCTGAGAAGCCAAGGAAGCTAGGAAATAGAAATGAGGAGGGAGAGAATTCCAGACATTGGAGACGAGCAGTAACAATGCTCGGTTGGAGCAGCAAGGAGACCAGTGTCACTGTCACTGAACTGTGGAGTCTACAAAGGGCAGTAAGGCATAAGAAGACTGGGAAGGGCCAGGTTATGAAGAATCTTGAAAGCCAAACAGAAAATTTTATATTTGATCCTGGAAGTGATAGGGAGCCGCCTGGGATTTATTGATAGGGAGCTGACATGATCAGACCTGCATTTGAGTAAGATCGCTTGGGCAGGTGAGTGGAGGATGGACTGGGGTGAGGAGAGATCTGTGGGAGAGGAATCAGCCGGAAGGAAGCCTATTACAATAGCACAGGCATGAGGTGAGGAAGGCAGATGGTGGCAGTGGCAGAGGAGAGAAGGGGGCTAATTGGAGAGATGTTAAGAAGGTAAAATAAATGGGCCTTGGAAACAATTTGGATAGAGAAAGTTGAGAGAGAGTGAGGAATTGAGGACACCTAGGCCTCAAGCCTGGGGAACTGAGAAGATGGTGATACTCTTGACGGTAATAGGGAAGTCTGAAAGGGGAGAATGTTCTGGGGAGAAAGACAATCAGTCCAGTTTTAGCCATGTTAACTTTGAGTTGTCTTTAGGACATCGAGTTCCAGATGTCCAAGAGGTAGCTGCAGATGAAGACTGGAAGCAGCAAAGAGGTTAGGGCTTGAAAAACAGATCTGAGAATCGTTAGCATAGATATGACAATGGAATCCGGGGGAGCTGATGAGCTCACCCAAAGAGAGCGTGCAAAGAGAAAAGAGAAGGGAAGAACTATGGAGGAAACTCACTGTTCGCTGGCATGAAATGGATGCAGATCCAGCAAAGAATATTGGGGAGGAACAGTCAGAGGGGTAGGAGAACCGAGAGAGAGAGGAGATGGAAGGCTAGATAGTGTCTCCAATTTTAATACTACCCACACACATGCACATAAGAATTATGGGCAAGAGGTAAAATTATTTCAACCGTCTCTACAGGGCAAGACTCCAAAAAGACAACATGATGATTTTGGAACATCAGACAAGGCAAATCCCTAATTCCTTTTAAGCTCACTCAGCCCTCTCTGCCTGATCAGCCCCCATACTCCAGAAGGACAACTCAGCCTGAGGGCCACCTCCGGTTGTCCTGATCTATATCTTGTCAGCGGACCCAGATGGCTCCAGAGGAGAAAGTGAAGCTGGTGGGTTTGCACAGCCCTTCCTCACTTAAATCTGTTTCACTCGCAAGTTATGGCATCACCTTCCTGATGTCACGGTCCTCTTCAAGAATGAAGGACACCCAACCCAACCCAACCCATGAGCTTCTGCTCTCAAATCTACTTGGCATTCTCCTAGCTGCAGCTATAACCTTGCCTCAGCCTTTGCCCACTCTTTTGCCACAAGCTGAAGACCTCAGCCTGCCCCCTCACTCAGTCCCTGCCCCCTCACTCAGTCCCTACCCCTCACTTGTGGAAGGAGCTGAAGTGAACTCTACTGGCTCTACCAGTAGCATTCGGCCCGAAAACTAAAAACAGCTGATTCTTAGAATCTTCTTATTCTTAGAAACCTTCCGGCCGCCTCCTACATAAGACCTTTACTCATCTGCAAAATTGTCACTATTTTCTCCCTCAAATTATCTTGTATTTACTTGTCTGTTTAGATAGAAGCAGCTAGTTAGCAACATGGTAACTGGGCACTGGACTTGGGATTGGGAAGACCAGGGTTCAAATCCTGCCTCAGTTACTGACTAGCTATGTGACTCTGGGCAAGTAACTTAACCTCTGTTTGCCTCAGTTTTCTCATATTTAAAATGGTGTTCGACTTGATGGTTTCTCAGATTCCTTCAAGCTCTACATCTGTGATCCTGTGGTCCAGAGATTTTCTCCATGAAGAATCTTCCAGCATGTTACAGGCTTTTTTCTATGTCCATATTTCATGGGGACCAGTGTAGTCCTCAGGCTCACCATCTATTATTCCTATAGAGAAAGGTTGGCTCTCCATTCATGACCAACCTAACTTCTGTTTGGATCATATTTTTTTTTTAAATAACTTTTCATTTGCTACTTTCCTCAACTGTAAAATGGAGATAATACTGGAACCACCTTCCAGGGGTTTTATGAGGATCAAATAAGATAATATTTATAAAATACTCATGCAATGCCATCCTCCCTCCCTCCCTTCTTCCCTTCCTTCTTTCTCTTTCTTTCCCCCTCTTTCCTTCCCTCTCTTCCCTCCTCCCTTCCATCTTTCTTTTTTTTTTCTTTTTTGCTAGGCAGTGGGGTTAAGTGACTTGCCCAGGGTCACACAGCTAGTAAGTGTTATGTGTCTGAGACCGGATTTGAACTCAGGTCCCTCCTGACTCCAGGGCCAGTGCTCTATCCATTGTACCACCTAGCTGCCCCTCCCTTCCATCTTCCTTTTCTTCCCTCCTTCCTACCTTCCCTCCTTCCTCCTCCCTCCCTCTGTTTCTTCCTTCCTTCCTTTTTATATTATTATATATATATTATATATATCCTTATTATATCCCTCAGTAGAGGGCAGGGACTGTCATTTTGGTCACTGTGATTAATATGTATGTCCCCTAGCAGGCACTTGACAAATATTCATTGAATTGTTGAATTATATGAAATAACCCCTGATTAAAGTCTTGGTACCATGATCTAGTGGGTATTTATATCCTCTCCAAAAGGCTTCATCCCACTGATGTAATTAAATAACCTCCTATTTGGGGTTTTGACATCCCGAGATAGGCATTCCTTAAATTCTTTTTTTGAAAGGAACCTAGTTTATCTCTGTTACATATGCTAATTCTTGGTTTCAGATATGTACAATTTTAAGGGGATAAACTAGAAGCCTTTCCAATAAAATGAGGGGAGAAATAAGGATGTCTATTCTCACCATTTCTCTTTGACATGGAAATGCTAGCTATAGCAATGTCTAGAAAAAAATAGTGCCAGGAATAACTATAGGTAAAGAAGAAACAAAATTATCATTTATTACAGATTATATGATGGTGCACTTGAAAGACCCTTGCAAATCAATTTAAAATTGAATTTTTCAGCAATTGAAAATTTCAGCAACATTAAAGGGCAGAAAACAAATCCACACATAATTAGCATTTCTGTATAATACTAATGGGGGGGAGAAGGCAGGAATATATATATATATATATATATATATATATATGCCAGGAACTGTGCAGAGCACTTTAAAAATATTCTCATTTGAGGGGCAGCTAGGTGGTGCAGTGGATAGAGCACCAGCCCTAAAGTCAGGAGGACCTGAGTTCAAATCTGGCCTCAGACCAAACACTTGACACTTATTAGTTGTGGGACCCTGGGCAAGTCACTTAACCCCAATTGCCTTTAAAAAATATATATATATATGTATATATAGAAAAATATTCTCATTTGATCCTTATGATAACCTTGGGAAGAATATGCTATTATGATCCCCATTTTGCAGTTGAGGA